TACAATACAGTAATGAAAAAAGCAAAGAAAAATACATTTCCGACTAGACAGATACTTCACCCAGTCCCCCCCAGATCCGATCAAATTTGCGCACACAGTTTCGACTTATGTATGTTATCATCTCTGGATTTGCACGGCGCCATCCGTGGACATCACTGCAAGCACCACTGCTATTTCAAGCACCAAGAGGTCCTGATTGCTGTATGGTGTGCAGGGGACACTTCTGTTTATTGATCCCTCCCCAACAGTTCTTCCAGCAAACTCTAGTCACAGTGAATCAAGGATCTGAATTACTTTAGAAAAGACATGCCTTAGTTGCACAGATACTCAGATTAGGGAGATGCACTAAATCTATTTGTTCTGGTGACCCTTGCCACAGGGACAGAAAGACAGTGATAAGAAATACAGCATTCTACAATTGTAACTAAATCAGATGAATTATAAATATGTTTTATAAATATTAACCCAATCATGACCATGTTCCAAATCCAGATATTCAATCAGTTCAGTACCATGGACAGTGATTCCAAAACAATTTTACTTCTTCAAATAAATGTATTTTTTGTCTAAAGCATAAAACCTACTGTCAAGTTTCATTAAAATGCCCCTTGTGTGAGAAACGAAATCTGACTTGTCTGGTCTTTACCCGTGGTTGAATCGAGGCAAACTCACCTGCATAGATTAGTATGCATTAGCTGTACATTCTTCACCTCTGGTCAGTTTTTATGTAGCCGGAGGGTTAGTGCAAATGAAAATATTGAATGAATGTATGTGCAGCAAGTCCACAGAAAAGGTGAAAAGAGCAGTGTGGTATCCAGAAGAAATCATTAGATTCACCCATTCAAAATGAGAAATGTTTCTGTGTGTAGTATTTTCAAAAATTTAACATTTCCTGTTTATAGATAATGATGAGGAATGTGCTTTATAAATCAAGGAGATGATTGGTCAGCAAATCTGTGGCAGGTCTTCTGTGAGTCTGACATTGAATGCTTTAAATATAGACCCCTTATTGCCTGAGGTCCCTCTAGAAGCCAAACACATGTAGAAAGATTTAAAAAATGGGGGCTTTGTGTGGCCACTCCGCCTTTACAGTAGGCACACCCCCCTCCTACTGACCTCCAATGGTCCCAAAGCAAAGCATGCACAGAAAACAAAATAGACCGGTTGATATTTTCGGTAGAAAAAAAGGATTGCATGCTAAATAAATATTTGAAAAACAGAGCAGGAATCACAATATTCTAGATGCAAAGAGACCACTGACCCCTTATTATCTGGAGCCACTCTTCCTCACCCATATTAACCCAATCACTGTCTCATCTGTTTCTCCATCACTGACCCACCTCACCCATATACTCCCTACCCTTTTTTACCAACCCTGGTTCTGCCTCCATAAAAAAACGAGTTAGGGCAGAAAATGTCCAGGGTCAAATTCACTGCGAGGATAGAAGCCCTGCCAATATTTTATTATAATCTGTGCCAATCTCACTCTCACTTCTTGTGTGGTCATTTAGACCTGATGTGAGATAGATCTTCCCAACACAGGCCCAGACGGCACACAAAGATTCTCACAGGGGTTCAGGCCTTTCCTCATTCTACTTAAAACTGAAATAAAGCCTTTTGGCTGGGGTTGGGCTTTGAAGTCTTGTATGGTGAGCTTCCATAGCATGACATAGAAGATATAAATTAGCAAATTTGTTTGCTTGAATTAGAGCTCAATTCTAGGTTGGTAGCTCTCCCAACTTGGATCCCCCTGCCTCTAATTTGTTTTCATTTTCCTGGCCAGTCATGTGACATCCTGGGGACTTCTTCCTGCAGTGGTAGATGGTCATGAATGCTTCAGAGAATGGTGCAAATGCACTGATGTCTGTGCCATTCTCTGGAGTATTCTTCTGTGAACAAAGAGTGACACGACAATGCACCTCCAGGGGGGCGGGTCTGACACCCTGGGCACAGGGGAAGTAGATTTAATTATGCCGGGTGTCTTTAATCTCAGAAGAACTTGGTGGCCCAGAATGGAGGAAGATGAGTAGCGTATCGCTTGAGCATATAGAGAGTGGTGAATGGCAATATTTTTATAAAATGTATAAAGAAGAGAAGTGGAGGTTGGCTTTAAGGTTTGACCTAGGTCAGGCAGATTTACAGAGCTGCAAAAATTTCCCAACACACCAGTGATCCTCCCCAGTCCTTCTAACATATCTTTATCATGATGGACAGAAACAATTGAATCATTGGATTTCTTACTGTTAGGCTTGAGGCCAGACAGTGACAAGACAATGAGCCTGTACTGACTTATTTATCAATTCACTTTGGAGGTCATGTTAATTTCTTAATTAAAGGAAAATGAAAATATGGTGAATTGTAAATATTTTCTTCCCTTTGAGAAAGATCGCAGGGCCAGGTTTGGCAGGGTGCCTCTGTGGCAGATTTTTTTGAAATACATTTTTTCATTAGAAAATATAAATTTAATGTTTTTAATCTTTGTTTTTTTTGGACCAAGACTTATATTTTCAAGTCCTCCTATGTGTGTTGGTCGATTGAAATCCATCATCAGCTTACAGTTAATTTGCCATAAATTATACCGAGTGCCATTTATAGATATGCCATATTAAGCATAACATTATTTACCCAAATTAATTTTAATAGATCGTAATGAATCGGGCATATTTATGATAACTGCGCATCTGCATATCATTTGCATGACATTTTCTGTGTAGAACACTCTGCTTTTACCATGATGTTAACCTCTGCTAGTGCCGCATCATTTTCCCAGGTTAAGACATTTACTGGCCTAGCCAACCTATGTAAATTGTACTTGCTTTTGTACACTGTGTGCAGACGTTAGATTTCAGTGCTGTGTACTGCAATTAAAATAACATTTTAGACTTACTTTTGTGCCTTTATTTGTCAGAGGATTTAGTTTCATATCATCAAATTATAGAAAACAGGAAGTGTTGCTAAAAAGAGCATACAGTAGCCATATGTATTGTGTGTTATTATTTTGTAAGGGCTCACACAGTTAAAGTATATCTAAATCCAGAAGCAGTAGCTGCATTCATTTTGTTTTTCAGTTTTTAAATGTATTTTCACCTGGTGATCAGGCCAGTAACGCACTTCCTGTTCTCTGGTGACAACGCTGTATTGTAGCTAAGGAGGACTAGCACTGTCACTCTAGGCTGCTCTCCTGATTTGGTACATAGGAAGGGAGGTATTCTGTAGTCCACAGAAGAGAACCAGGAAGGCTGATAACATTGAGATTTCATTTTAGTAGACAGAAAGTTATAGGGACACTAGATTTCTAACAGGATCAACAATTTTATTTCTCTGTACTTATAAAAAATTTACTTAGCCTGAAAATGAAAACCAATGGAGCCACCACATCCAAGGACTGGTAAGCTACATTTTTGTTCTTGGGTTAGATGGTTTTAAAGTAGTTGTGAATAGAGTGGAGAGGGATTAGAACCTCTGTTAAGTTTTCATTGTTACCTGTGCCCTCCTTAGGCAGATTCACCCTCTCTATGTGTCCAGTTTTCACCTGAGCAGAAATAAAGGAGAAATCTTCCATTGGGGACACAAGTTCTGGTGACTCTGCTGACTACCAGAGATTTCCCTCACTTTGAAAGGATTTCTTCTTAAGTCATGTTGTGACTATCGGACAGGACATGGCAGGCAATCGGCCCAATGAAATAAAGAACTGATGGGTTATAACCCTCCCTTACTTTATCCAAAATGAAAAAAAAAATGGCTTCATCCTTCAGTGTACCAAAATTAGATCAATGAAATACTAATTCATATTGGTTGCTATGGGTTCCTTTTTTTTTTTTTATAGTGTTTTTGATTAAGGCATATATAATATGCAATTCAAACTGTATGGAAATATAAAGCAAGAAAAGTAGATCATACTTAATCTAGATATGTTTTGTATTTTTTATATATATATAAAAACACGCAGTATTGCAGTGTGCAATGATACCTTTCTTATTGGACTAACAAAATATATAAAAGACAAGCTTTCGAGAGTGAACCTCTCTTCTT